CACAACGCACTGGATAGTTGGCCAATCAGAGCACACCTCGCTTTTCAGACCGATGAGCTTTGTAAAAATCGATGCGTTTCAGAAAGGCGGGGCATAGAGGAGAAACAATAATGTACAGTATGTGGAAAATAATGTGTTTTTTTAACCTTAAACCGCATAAACACATTTCATTACACCAAATACACAAAATAATGTTCTTTTTAGCAACATCATATGACCCCTTTAAATGTTCTTATACATTTATTTATTTAACTTCAAAAGGAGTTTAAAGTGCTATTTGTCAGCTATAATTTATCAGGGTGACATTTATAACAGAACATTTGCATGGCTCCTCACAAAGCTTGTGTTCGAATGGAAATGAATTTACTGGGAACAAAGGAGTTCTGTCATTCAAGCAACTCTGAAGTCTGCTTCCCATGTGGCCAGTTACATGACCATATTCCAACATGACATTCAACATGATATTCAAAATGGCCTATTTTAAGAGTTCAACCAGTGTATTTTGATGGAAATTGTTCATTTTAAGTGGTACTCTAAAAAAATTCTCATTACTGTGCCAAGTGTCAAATAAAAGCCCTATTACAGTGGTCAGAAAAGATTTTCCAAATGATTAATTCCTCCTTGTCAAGATTGTCAGAAATTAAATTGACCCTTGTGTTTAAAAAAAAAAAAAAAAAAGAAAGAAAAATGATTGGCCCTGAATTTCCTCTTGGATAGTAGTACAAAAACACATTTTCTATGTAGACGACAATAACATCACAGACTAGCACCTTTAAATACTAAAATTACCTCATGTTTGTATATAAACTAATAACCAGTCGAAAGGACTTTAAATGCAGCAGTTGTAACATTGTTGGTTTAGTTGATTTTGTGATGCGAGATCAAAAATGTGACTTGACTTTTCATGTTCTTACAGGCAGAGGCTGGACCAGATGCGAGAGATGTATGACCGTGCAGGCGAGATGGCCTCGTCCAATCCGAGTGAGGATGTGGAGGGTGCTTTGACCGGCAGTGACCCGTTCTATGACCGCTTCCATTGGTTCAAGCTGGTTGGGAGGTATGCTAATCACCTAACCTTGTTCCATGAATTGAGAAATGATTAAGCATGTTAACAGAAATCATTATGTCCTGTGGTTTTAAATACTGTAAAATTAGGCTTAATTCTTCACAAACATTTTGCATGTTTTGTGGTTGAAACGGTGTCAGTGTGTGAGAATTTTTGTTTCATTTGTTTGTAAAGATCTGCTCTCTTAGTGAAAGAGGGAGACCATAAATCATTCATGACATCTTTGTTTAGTCATTAACACTGTTCGTTTTCTCTTCATATTTAAATCACCCTTTTTATTCACATGATTTTTTGTTTGTTGGTTTTGCATTGTTTTCCCAATCATAATGTGCTTGTGTTTTGCTCTTTGCTGGTGTAGTGTTTATTTATTTATTTATTTTATTTTTTTATGCAATGTTTTCATCCATTTGTCATTATTTTAAACGTTCATTTCATATGTAGATTGTTTTTTGATCTTCTGTGCACATTATACACATTGTAGAATTCTGATTATTGTCCATGTTTTATTTCCATAATCAAGATTAGAACAGTTTCTATGATGTCTTTTGTAAAATTTCAAAACTTACTGGATTAAGTAAAAAATAGCAATTAATTATTCATGTACCTGCTATGTTTATTGTTTTTTTTATTGTATAGTCGTGGCCCTTAAATGTGGGTCATTTTAAATAATCCTGTAAACTCTTGCTTGTGCCTGCATCCTACCCACGCACCTTTTTTTTTAGCTCACCTATTTTTCACGGCTGTGTGAATGAGCGTCTGGCCGACCGCACTCCCTCGCCCACCTTCTCCACCACCGATTCTGAGATCACTGAGCTGGCCGACGAACGGCAGAGCGAGATGGAGGATTTCATGGATGACGAGGCTTTTGTGGACGACACCAGCTCAGACGCTGGGACCGAGGAAGGCTCTGACATCTTCAGCGATGGGCAGGACCCCTTCTATGACCGTTCCCCATGGTTCATCCTGGTGGGCAGGTTGGTGGTGGCCACTGCTCGGGGGGAAACCTGAAAAATGAGGGCTGGAAAGAGAAAGAATGACGAAGAGAAATGGAGACAGTTGTGTGGCTCAGTGTGCAGCTGTTAATGATCTAAAGATAATTTAGAGACAGTAAAAATGAATTAATTTTCTAGTCATGTGAGATCAGATCTGACCTACGAAACGGCTCACATGGCTATACCAGACTCCTCCTCCAGTTCTCCACAGCCTACATTTAACCTCCATCTGTCTGGTTTGGTTTAACATTAGCACTCGAAACCTTAGTACACATTTGTGTTTGTTTTCATTCATTGTATTTATTTTAATCGGGCTGTAAATCGATTCAAATGTGTTATGGTTAGCGTTCAGTTCCTTTTTGAGGCAAGAAAACTGATCAGAATGCACTGCTAAGTGCTAATACAAAGAAACGCAAATGTAATAATAAAATTCAATAAAACCATGTTCACAGCATTTTATGGACTTAATCTTTCATATGCAGATTTTTAGCCACCAGCCTGCTGCATTTTGTTCTCTGCTGGTGTTCACATTAACATTTTTATGAATGACAGTGTTTCACTTGTGGGTGTTATTGCACTTAGCCTCAATGGGAATTCAATTTCACCATACAAGAATGCAAATTACTTTTGTTAAACATCCCATCTGGATGTTCTTCCATTGGTCTTTCTCCTTTGACTGAGAAACAAATGCTTTGCTAGGGACTGTTGTGAATGTATGTATATAAGACACAGACACTTGAACACAAGGAATGCTCAGATCAGTTAGACAAAAAATTATATCTAAGAGCTTTAAAAAAATAACATTGTAACAATGTGTTGTTAACTTTGATTTACAGCCCCAGTTTCTTTATTTTTGTTACTTTAATCATTTATTGTGCTTGTATATTAAAATATTAAATTGTGTTTATTTGTTTAATGTTTTTATTTAATTTTGTCTGTATTCTTTTTTCCCTTTAACATGAATCTTCATTGAGTGTTCTAAAGAGCTGTTATTTATCAGTCAGCTGATCAAGCGAGATGAATAGAGGAGGAGAGAGGCAACGTAGTCTGGATCGATGCAGAGGCGTAAATGGATCTGCGTCATTGTGACGTCACTGATGCGCTACAGTGATGGCTCTCCTCCATCTTGGCCTTGAGGCTGCCTATGTGGGGAGGAGGAGCTCTCTGACTGCAAACAGCTCCTGAAATTCAGACTATGTGTGCCCCCTAGCCTCTGAAAATAGAAAATATTCTAATACAATCTCTTATTTGGTTGCCCTTCTTTTTCTTTGCCATTCAATTTCAAGGTTGATGGATTCGTTTTCTGTCTTTTGTTATTTAGTGCCGTGTTTTGTTTGTGTCAGCTCTTAGTAAAAGTGTCTGACACATCATATCCATTATTCTCTGATGGTGTTAATCAGGGTAATGGAGATGAACCCATGGCCCTGCAGTGAAAGGAAGTCACTGTGCTTAACTGCTCGGCTGTTTTTACGCATCTCCTGTACCCTCCATACTAATACATATGGTTCTTGGTACATGTTGTGTGTGCATGAGACAGTCAGGCGGCGACGGTTCTCAGGGCAGAACTACAATTGTCGTTCTTTTTCCTCCAGAGCCTTCGTGTACCTGAGTAACCTGCTGTACCCTGTGCCTCTGGTGCACCGTGTCGCTATAGTAACAGAGAAGGGAGAAGTGCGAGGATTCCTGCGAGTGGGGGTCCAAGCCATCGCTGGTGAGCGCTGCTCTGTATTAATGAATTAATTAAGACTCAGCTCAGATTTATTTAAGCACAGTTGATATCAATCTGATGTGCTTTATAAACATTCAGTCCTTTTAAGTTGTTTTTCAACTGATCTTTGGAACTTGTGTCCTTTTTCTTTGGTATTTGTGTTTTTGTAGCTGACGAAGAGGCTCCTGATTATGGATCTGGTGTGCGTCAGTCGGGCACTGCTAAGATTTCCTTCGACAATGAGTATTTTAAAAAGGTACAAGCCAGTCCAGCATTTGAGACCTCCTGAGTTTTCCTGTTATTTTAACATGAGTAGATGTATACATGGCAAAATTTAAGAAAAAAAATCTTGTGTATATGTATTATCTAGTGTTGGGAAGGTTACTTTGTAAATGTAGTAGTTTACAGATTACAAGTTACCCTATGTAATAAGTAGTGTAACTGTTTTAGTTACTTTTTTTTTAAGTAATGTAACTGATTACATTTGATTACTTTTCTAAATTTAAATTTAAATTTTTTTCTAAATTTTTCTAAACTGTTAATTGTTTTCAAACATTTAAAGCAGGCAGGTTTAACCTTACAGTAGTACTCAACGGTGATTACTGTCAGACTTTCAAAATCCTTCATCACTTGAATTAAGATTATAATAATTTAATTTTAAAGCACAGCC